GCAGCAGGAGGGAGGGTTTGGCGCTCCTCCCTTCCTCTGCCCCCCCTCCTCCAGGCAGTAGAGAGGAAAGGTAGATCGAGAGCCTGTCGGCTGTGGATCTAGCCTGGGGCAGTGAAATTGACTAGAACTTCCTGAACGCGGCTGCCTGCCTCTTGCCCACTCTCCGGTTCTGCCCCTTGCAGGCTTTGCCTCCCTGCAAGAGGAGGGAGGGTTCAGCACACCCCCGCCGACCCCTACCTTCCTCTGCCCCCCCCTCCGGGCAGTAGAGGGGAAAGGTAGATTGAGAGCCTGTTGATCCAGCAGCGGCAGTGTAATTGACTAGAACTTCTTGAAGCGGCTGCCTGCCTCTCTCCTCCTCTCTGTTTCCGCAGCTCGCAGGCTTTGCCTTCTTCTAAAATGGTGGAGGGTTCGGCCCTTGCAGCACTGTTCCCCTCCGACGAGACCCGCCCCTGCCAGAGTACCTCCTGATAGTCCGGCATTTTTGATAATCCGGCACCACCTGGGTCCCAAAGGTGCCAGATTATTGGAAGTCTACTGTAATTCTTATCCTATCTTCAGTGGACATGAAAAGCAAATGATCACCACCCTGTATATAACCCTTAATATATGTGAACACTTACCAGGCTCCTTTCCCTCCTGCATCTTTTTTCAAAACTAAATGTCCCGTTTTTTTAAATTTTTCTTCATGAGTCAGTTTTTCCAAGACATGTTACCATTTTCCTTTCTTTCTTCTACACTCAGTCTAATTTGTCCACATCTCTCCTAAAGTGAGCCTTCACACCTAGACCCAGTACTAGAGTGGAGGCCCCATCAGTGCTGAGTAGAGCATGACTTTCCCTTGTGTTATATATTCTCTCCTGTAAATATACCCCAGAATGTTATTAGGATTTTTTCCACAACTGCATCACATTGATGACTAGTATTCAATTTGTTATTCACTACAACCTCCAGATCATTTCCAGTAGCACTACCACCTAAGCCAGTTATTCCCCTCCCCATCATGTAGCTGAGCATTTGATTTTTCCTTACTAACTGAATGTGCTACAAAAATCTTTGCTGAAAGGAGCTGATTGCAGGGCTTGCCAGCAGGCACAAGTGCGGGAGGAGCAGGAATTGATCCATGGGGCAGACAGTGGGTGTGAGCACCCACCATTTTTTCCCCTGGGTGCTTTAGCACCATCCAAGGAGTTGGTACCTATGGTACAACCAACAGATCTATTTTTGTCAAAAAATAACTGTTACCATTAAACAGTTCTCATCAAGGACAGTATGCTAAAATAAATCTTGAGAATGAAAGTGCTACTAGCAAAGTTCCAGAAATACAAGACTAAAACCTGCTACCAATACAGACAGCATTAACAGAGATAGTAGTAATATCATTTATACACATAAAAAACAGCACAACAACTTAGAGTACAGTGGGTGGTCTTGGAAATGAATGGCAAAGAAAAGGAACATGAGAATTGGGTTAAGTACAGAGACTGGCTAATACTAAAACCGAACTAGGATCTTGACAATGGCACAGCAACCCAATACTGAAAATAACACGACTGCCCACTTAGAATAACCATTGAGAACTTGTGGGCCTAGCTAATTCTGCCAACAGATGTGTAACTAACCTTGACAGTTAAAGTTGGATATTGAAATACAGTGACTCATTTGAAAATATTTCTTGCTGTATCTAGGGAACAAAAAAAGCAAGTTATATTTAGAAAGTTCAGTCCAATTCAGATAATAGCCAGATTTTACAAGTCAGCTTGGGAAATACAGTCTTATTGAAATGGATTTTGCACCTGCAGTGGGCATAGCCAAGGGAAGGGTGCATGCATATCCCCTAGCTGGGGGACAGAGATAGACACACAGACAAGCGCTCTTAAATATAAAGTAGATAACTGTCCCAGTCCCCATCTCTGGCCCCTTGCTGCTCCTCTGTGGTTATTATATAGAATAACTGTCCCTGCTAGCAGAACCCTGACTTTCCATTTTATGAGAAACTATTGCATTCCAAGCACATCCAAACCTTCATCTTGCTGTAAGTTATGATAAGAGGAAGCTGCATACAAATTTGGTGGTCCTAGCTCTTACCATTTATGAGGAGTCATAGAACAGAATCCTAGGGCTGGAAGAGAGCTCAGGAGGTCATCGAGTCCAGCCCCCTGCCTGAAGCAGGACCAACCTTAACTAAATCATCCCAGGCAGGGCTTTGTCCAGCTAAGCCCTTGAGCAGGAAGGCTGACTCAGATAGTAGAATGAATTTCAAATATCTGTACCATCAAAAACTACAAATTATATTTTTCTATGTCTCATACAAGTACTGTAGTACAATCTCTATCTTGAAAGTTGAATTCACAAATATAGAATTCTGTAAAAAAAACTGACTTCCTAAGGAAACTACAAAACATCGATAACCTCCCCAATAACACCATCCTTGCCACCATGGATGTAGAAGCTCTATATACCAACATCCCACATGAAGACGGATTACAAGCAATTAGAAACACTATCCCAGAGGACACTACTGCCAACCTGATAGCAGACCTATGTAACTTTGTTCTCACCCACAATTATTTCCAGTTTGAGAACAACTTATACCTCCAGATCAGCGGCACAGCCATGGGTACACGCATGGCCCCACAGTATGCTAACATCTTTATGGCTGACCGATAACAACGTTTCCTCAACTCCCGTCCCCTTTCTCCCCTTCTCTACCTACGGTACATCGATGACATCTTTATGATCTGGACGCATGGCCAAGAAACACTGGAGATATTCCACAGAGATTTCAACAACCTACACCCCACCATCACCCTCAGCCTGGACCATTCTACACGAGAGATCCACTTCCTGGACACCACTACAAATCAACAATGGAAAATTACACACCACTCTCTACAGAAAACCCACCGACTCATACAGTTACCTACATGCTTCCAGCTCCCATCCAGAACACCCCACACGATCCATCGTCTATAGCCAAGCCCTTCGATACAACCGCATCTGCTCTAATCCCACTAACAGAGACCAGAAGCTTCAGGATCTCTACCAAGCATTTATAAACCTCAACAACCCACCCGGAGAAATAAAAAAGCAAACTGAAAGAGCCAGACGAATACCTAGAAACCATCTACTTCAAGACAGACCCAAGAAAACCAACAATAGAACACCACTTGTCATCACCTACAACCCCCAACTTAAACCTGTCCAACACATTATCAATAAACTACAGCCTATACTGGAACAGGATACCATACTCCAAGAGGCTCCGGGAGACAGACCCATAGTCTCCTATAGACAACCACCTAACCTCAAGATGATTCTTACCAACAACCACAGGACATACCACACTAATACCAACCCTGGTACCTTCCCTTGCAACAAACCCCGTTGCCAGCTTTGTCCACATATTCATTCTGTTGATGCCATTATTGGACCTAACCAAGTGAGCTATAAGATCAAGAACACATATTCCTGCGCATCCAGAAATATAATCTATGCTATCATGTGCCGAAAGTGTCCGTCTGCTATGTACATTGGACAAACATCTCAGACACTTCGCCAAAGGATCAATGCCCACAAAACAGATATCAGATAAGATCACAAAGAAAAAACAGTTTCTTGCCATTTTAACCAGAAAGGACACTCTCTCAATGACTTAACCACCTGCATTCTGCTACAAAGACCTTTTACATCTGAACTTGAAAGGGAATCCTCTGAACTGTCATTCATGTTAAAATTCGACACTCGCCAAAAAGGAATGAACAAACACTCAAGCTATCTTACCCATTACCAAGATAGCTTCCCCAATTACCACCTCTAATACCATTAACTCACAAACCATCCCACTCTCCCCACCTCTAATATCAATTCACAGACACTTACCTTCCTTCCTCCCCCCCCCCCGCATCCCCCTCCTGTTCTGAAATGTGATTTGTCCTTTTCATATGTGTTCATTTTTTTTAATTGTATCCTTTGGTATATATGGTTGTGACTATTTTCTTCCACTATTTGATCTGAGGAAGTGGGTCTGGCCCACGAAAGCTCATCATCTAATAAACCATCTTGTAAGTCTTTAAAGTGCTACATTGTCCTGCATTTTGTAAAAAAACTGCATTCAAAAATAAAGACAAACAATGTAAAACTTGAGTTTTTAGGTACACTCAATCCTATTTTTTGTTCAGCCACTCACTCAGACAAACAAGTTTGGTTACAATTTGTAGGAGATAATGCTGCCTGCTTCCTGTTTACAATATCACCTGACAGCTAGAACAGGCATTCACATGGCAATGTTGTAGCTGGAACTGCAAGATATTTATGTGCCACAGGCACTACATATTCATGTCCCTTCATGCTTTAAATACCATTCTAGAGGACACGTGTCTATGCTGACAATGAGTTCTCCTGATAATCCAATGCAGTATGACTGATGCATTTTCATTCTCATTACCTGAGTGAGATGCCACCAGCAGAAGGCTGATTTTCTTTTTTGGTGGTTCAGTTTCTAGAGTTTCTGCATCAGAGTGTTGCTCTTTTAAGACGCCTAAAGGCATGCCCTACATCTCATCCCTGTTAGATTTTGGATGGAACTTCAGATTAAGCGCTGAAGCTATTTTAGAAATCTCACACTGGTACCTTCATTGTCTTTTGACTAATCTGCTGTGAAAGCCTTCTTAAACAAATATATGTGTTGGGCCATCATCCAAGACTGCTATAACATGAAATAAACGGCAGACTCTGGATAAAACAGAGCAGGAGACATAGTTTTCTTACAAAGAATTCAGTCTAAAATGTAATACTTTTTAAAAAAAAAAAAGCAGAATAGAAGCACATCCTCTGGAATGGTGGCCAAAGCACAATGAGAGTTTAGCGTATCTGGTAGTAAATATCTTGCAACACTGGCTACAAATGTGTCATGGTCTCACTTTCTCGTCACACTGTAAATAAGAAGCAGGCATCAGTATCTCCTGTCAATGTAAACAAATTTGTTTGTCTTCGTGATTAGCAGAACAAGAAGTAGGACTGTGTAGACTTGTAAGCTCTAAAGTTTTACATTGTTTGTATTTGAGTGCAGTTATACAACAACAAAAATCTACATTTGTATGTTACATGGAAAGATTGAACTTTATTTCTATGAGATGAACTGAAAATACTATTTTATATTTTTACAGTGCACGTATTTTAATAAAAATATAAAATAAGCTCTGTACACTTTGTATTGTATGTAACCGAAATCAATATTAAAATGTAAAACAAAATCCAAAAAACCCAAATTTCAGTTGATATTTTATTGTTTAACAAATGTGATTAATCACAATTCTTGGATTAACTGATTTAATCACGTGAATTACTGTGAACTCAATCACCACCACTGGAAATCTTGCATCGCTTACTCTTGCAAGGTTTCATAAAATCTCCCGTTGGAGTAGAGGAAAAACATTTAGACACGTGCTATAATAATTTACATTTGAGAAAGGTGATGTCATTGATGGACAATATCAGAGGGGTAGCCGTGTTAGTCTGAATCTGCAAAAGCGACGAGGAGTCCTGTGGCACCTTATAGACTAACTGAAGTGTAGGAGCATAAGCTTTCATGGGCAAAGACCCACTTCGTCAGATGCATGTAGTGGAAATTTCCAGAAGCAGGAATAAATATGCAGGCCAGGATCAGGCTGGAGATAACGAGGTGGATCCAATCAAGGAGGATGAGGCCCACTTCTAGCAGCTGATCTGGAGGTGTGAATTCCAAGAGAGCAGAAGCTGCTTTTGTAGTTAGCAAGCCATTCACATTGTAGTTAGCAAGCCATTGATGGACAATGCTTTTGAGTTTAGCCTAGACTGTCTAACACCCGCACTAACAGGGATCTGTAATAAATATATCTCTATCCATTATTGAAGAGAAACAGAATTAGAAGACCTTCATAGTAGGTTAAAACTGGTAATTGCCCATAAAGGGATTATAGTGGACCTATACATTAACATACCTGAGAAAGCAGTAGTAATTCTCACTTTGGAATCTCTTAAGACTTAAATCTTCATTTTCATTAGAAATAAGAGAAACTATGCTACTTTAGGGTATGTCTAGACTACCGCGTTTTGTCGACGGAAGTTTTGTCGACAGATACTGTCGACAAAACTTCCGTCGACAATTTGCGTCCAGACACATGGAGTTCTGTCGACAAAGCAAGCCGCTTTGTCGACAGAACTCCGTAGTCTGGACACAACGTTACAGGCAATAACACCTTCTGTCGACAGAAGGTGTTTTGCCTCGTAAAATGAGGTATACCAGCGTCGACAAAACCGCGGAGTTCTGTCGACGTTATGTCGACAGAACTCCGCGGTAATGTAGACGCTGGTATTGTTTTGTCGACAAAAGTCCACTTTTGTCGACAAAACTAGGTAGTCGACACACACCTTTAGATTACAAACAATACTAAGGACCTTCAAGATGTATTCCGCACAAGCAAACCTAAATAAATTAGATCTGTAAGCAATCTCTTCTTTCCATTTTTTATGTCCATTGTTTGCACTATTGCTCATTGATCCACACAGGCCGATGTTTCTCAAAGTGGTCCACAAAACAACGTTGAAAAACCTGCTAATTGGCTGCTCAGGTGAATTTACTTACCAGCTCTGTGGCCACAGAGCCTTGTGGCTCCCATTGGCAAAGTTTGCCATTTAGGGTAGCCACGGGAAGCCGCAGCCTTCCCCACATCACAACTGAAAGAATGTTAGTCAGTGATGTGCCACAGCTAAATATATGTTGACCAAAAATGGCTCTATGAAAATAGTCTCCTCTTGAAAGAAAATTCCAGGCATCAGTCTACAGTTAAGTAGCAGGGGGAAAAACTGCAGTAGAAAGGGATCAATGTTTACTTTTTCCAATCCTTTTATTTTAAAAAGATAGATGAATAACAAAAATGTAAATATAAAAAGTATAGGAACTGACTCCTTTTCCAAGGGGTGAGTCACCCGCATTCCACAACAAGGTCCCACACCCCCACTCCAGCCTTTCCCCTGACAGCCTGCTCTCACTCTTCCTCTGTACCAGCCTCTGATTCTCACCCCTTTCCCCCCCCCCTTTTCCACACACCTGCTGCTCTCCACCTTCTTCCAAGTGACTCCCCAAAAGCTGACAAATAGCTGCCTGCTGGCCAGCCCCAGAGCCTGCCAAAGCTGTGGCTTGTGGGTGCTGAATACCATCTACTTTTTTCCCCATGGGTGCTTGAGCCATGGAACACCCATTAGGTCAGTGCCTATGACAGAAACTTGAGAGATCATTTAGAAAAACTAGAGCAGGGAGTCTCAACCTTCACTGTACCATGACTCCTTTCTGAGAACAAAAATTTCTTCTGGCCCCAATAGTGGGGGACTGAAGCCCAAGCCCCACTGTCCCATGTGTTGGGGCCACGCCCAAGCCTCACTGCTTTGGGCAGGGGGACCAAAGCTGAAGTTCAGCTCCAAGCAGGGTCCTGCAATCTGAGTCCCATTGCCCAGAGCTGAAGCCCGCAAAAGCTTTGGCCTTGGCCCTCGCCCTGTGAAATGGGGCTCCAGCTTTAGCTCTAGTGATCCCATTCAGAGAGCATTATGACCCACTTGGGGTCCCAACCCACAATTTGAGAATCGCTGAACTGAGGGACTGGAGTGTTAGATTCCCCTATCCTGGGTAGAAGTCTCCAACACCAACAAATGAAGCCATAAACTTGGCTTAAAGACAAAAAGTACATACATGAAAGTGTAATGGAACTCACTGCTGCTCTACAAGTCTCCTGAACAGAAGCAGACCAGAAACTGGCTGCAGAAGCAGACATTCCATCTGATTAGATAAGCAGTGAAGTTTGAACTCCATTTTCTAGGATACAAAGCCAGCACATTGGGCATTGATTTCAGAAGAAAAATTCCAAGTGGATCTTACAGAGATAGGCATATGAAGCAAGTAAAATAAGGAGAGAGAGAGTTCTGTAAACCTTGAAAAATTAAAAAAACCTCCATATCCCCAGGGACATTCATTATAGTGATAATTTAAAGAAACCGCTACAGTCACCACAGGAAAGTATCCATGTGAAAGCTTTGAGTTCACAAAAAGAGGTGGAACCTCCGATCAGTCTGTCTAGACTACAATACTCATAAGATTAAGCATATTGCTTCAAATCTTGGGGGAAGGGGGGGGGGAGGAGAGGGGAAATCTAGGCATTGATAAGAATCTGGTCTATCTTACATATGTCAAAACCCCAAACAACCACCAACTATACTTTTAGGGAGGGTCTTATGTATTCAATTGTAAAAGAAAGACAAGCAGTTTGTTTGTAAACTGATGGAGACTATTCTTACAGAACACATACTGCTGTACAGTTCTGAGAAACTCAAAGTCACTTAATAGAAGTTCACACCTCTTTACAAGCAAGCTTTACAAACTTTATTCTGTACCGACATTAGCAGGAAATGGATAGGTTTGTTGAAGCGACATGACTCTGAAGTGATATGGGCAAAACTCAGTTCACTAACACAACATCCCACAGAGCCATAAGATTCTAATGCACCTCAGGCAAGGGCTCACAGACAAACATGTCTGGTTGTAGCTTCTCTCACTGTACATTAATAAAGGCAGTACTATCTTGATGACAGGCTGTCTCTATATAGAAAACATCCCTAAAAGTAACCAAATCTCTTCAAGGATAGAAGAGGTATATACAGGTCTTCTTCTACAACTTGAAATTATGATTTCACAAAAACAAAAGCTCTCTGTATAGTACTGCAGGTGGATTTCCCTCTAAGAAAATCTAGATCTATACAATTAAGTGATGTTGAACCATGTCCACAGAAGTCCTGCCCTACTATAGAAGCTCCACTACCAAATGTCACAAAAATCCTCCAAAAAGTCAGTATTAAGAGCTTGGGCTCTGGAATTGATCAGTCTTGTACACAATTACTGTATGTTCTTTGCTGATTGGAAGATGATTGGTACTTGCATCTGTACCACAAATGAAATAATTTCTGGGGACGTTAGCGAGTAGTCTACTATGTATAAGCTTGTCAGGTAGTCGAGTGGAGTACTTGATTACTTACTTCCCCCACCACCATTCTGCCTCTCTAAGAGGCAGTAAGAGGTGGGGGGAAAGGAGCCAGTGCTGGGGGGAGCCTGCTTAAAAGCTGGTTCCCCCTAGCACCATCTCTGCAGTGTCGCCTGCCTCCAGCAGTTCTTACTACATTTAAAATTCAGAGCTGCAACACGGGTGGCTCCCAGAGCCAGGGCTGCTCAGTCCCAGCTCCAGCCCGCTCTGGGAGCTACCCCGGCTGCCACTCTGCAGAGCGGCTCCTTACCGACTGTGTAGTTGATACAATTTGTATTGACTACACAATTAGCGAGAACTTCAATTTAACATCTTAGTCATGTCTAGGTTCTTCAGAAATACCCCACTATACTATTGGATGGTTTCTCAACTATAGTGGCCACAACATTCTCTAGGGAGGATGTGAAAAACTCATTCCTCCTCTGTTGTAGAACAAATTCATTTGGCATCCAGGGAGTTTTCCCAACGCGTGCTCTCAAGGCGGCATGCCCTGATGTCCCAATCACCATTCACTTCTTCCCCAACAGGCACAGAATAGGCTGAATTTATGCAGGAATACTGTATATCAGAGGAGAGCAGGTGTTAATTCATGTATTTAATGCAAATAGAATGCATACTTGCTCTACACTGCAATTAAATAGCATATTAAGGCTCTTAAGGCTATCAGAGCGAAGTATTAAGTTATTATTATTTAAAGATTTTGGATACCTTAACAAAGATGATCTATCCTTATTTGTGCAAGATTTTCTACTTGAATGCCATTCATCAGTTTGAGGTGGCTTTTGGACAAAGTATCTGAGAATACCAAGACAAAGTTTGGTTTCTTAAGCCTTGGACTTAAACGGCTATTGATATGTGCATGCAGATGCAACAGCCATAACAGTCATGGACTTTCCACACAAACATGACCAGTTTGTTGTTTGTAAAATGTTCCTTGCCAAAAAAATGGAAAGAGAAATAACAGTATGAGTAAATAATGACTACAGAAAATATTTGAGATTCTGGGAGCTGATTAATCCCCAAACCACAGCAGTTCATTACATCAAACACTGACTTTTATAAAATGCTGCCAACAGCAAGTAGAGATCAGGTAAAGTATGCCACACCAAACTGAAGATATATTCTGTAGCTATTAAGAAGGAAAGTTAAAGTAATATAGCTAAGAAGCCAGGCACAGTAAAATTTTGACAAGGTTAAGATCTCATCCACTGTTAAGAGGCAACAAAGAAAGTCACAGCTGCAAGCACCATGGAGCACTGTAGTTATTCTGCCATAACAAGATGATAATCCAACTACAGCAGTAATGTTATAACTTCATCACATACCTCTACAAAAAGGTTTTTAAAAGGTTAAACTTTGCTCAATCAACACTGATAGGAGACTACCTGCAATTTACACCAGGGAATGAAAGGCAGTCTTGCAAGTATACACTTACTGATTTTTCAAGTACAATAGGATGATCAGGAAGAAATTCTGGCTTCTTTTGAGAGAGTGAAACACGTGAAAGCTTTAAGAGGAAATCTCTGCTGTATTTAATTCTTTCTGCAAATATAGGATTATGCACAATTACTATAAAGTTATTTGTTAAACAGTAATGTTTGCAAAGCAGCTTAAATTCTGGCATTTCCCAATTTTTCAGTGCTTGACTTTTCTAAGAGTTTTTATATGAAAATGATGCACTTTTTGTGCATGTGCAATATAATCCTATTGTTAAAAAGCAGTTTGGTAAGGACTAGCTGTTTTCAGGTCATTGCTAATGAACTATAAAATATTTCATGCAGAGATCACCAGTTCAAATCCAACATAGCTCAGGAGAGATTGTAATTACTGCTAAAAATGGACGTTTCTGAGTTTCTATAAAAAATGAATGTGGTGGGTCTCTGGAACTGAGTTTACATTACAAACTTCCCTCTTATAATTTGTACTAGCAAACATACTGTATAGAGAAGCCATGGAGACTAATTTCCCTACTAAGGAAAGATAAGATTTCAGGGCAGTATTTGTAGTAAGCTTGCAGATAAACGGAGGATACATTCACCAGGGCAATCAAGCAGATGCCTTAAACAGGCATGAATTTAAGAGATTAATTTATACACAACCTTGCAAACAGGTAAGTGTAATGATTTATCTTACATGGGTATAATACATGCAGATGTAAACACTTGATAGTTATGGTTAAAGCTTGTCTACACTGAGATTTTGTTTTATACTGTTATGGCTACATTTATGTAGCTTCATTGGTACAAACCTTCCACTTATTGGCTAGTCAGCTATTGTACCAATGCAGCTATAGCAATATAGCCATATCGTACAAGCCCTTAAACCCAAAATATGCCTCCCAATGAGAATTTTCCTGCAGTTATGGAAATGTCTACTGACCTTGCCAGTTTTAAGCTTTCCGTACTACTTCTACATCAAAATAGCAAAGTTCCAAAGCCCTGGCTCCTTCAGCTAGCCCAATCCACATACGAGAGGAAAGCATCAGCTTTAAGCAATTACTGATATCTGGAACAAGTATATTTCCATTCTTACCTTGGAAGCAGGTAATTCAAACGATCTACATACATCATTCTGTACCAAAATGTTAAAAATAGTGTACACAGTATTTTAGAAGTCTGCAAAATTTAATTTGTCAAATGTACGTGGAGGCTCCAGCATGACACTGGGGAGCACAGGACACTGGCTGTATGGAGCTGGGAGATCACTGTGCAACTCTCCCCCGGACATGGACTCAAGGGTGAGGCTGAACCTAACCCTGACAAAGCACAAAGCACAGGCCTGCCCAGTAATATCCCAGGGCCCTGTGTCTCAGTGCCAAGTGAAGTAGGTGTGGGCAAGTGAGCTAAGCAAGGCAGGATCCAAGTGTGGAGAGATGTGTGTGTGGGTTGAGTGTGTTCTCTTTGGGCTAATCTGGACATGGGCAGCTCACAGGGGAATCCAGGAATGGGAGAGGGGGGAGAATTGGAGGGAATCTGGATGTACTGAGGCTTTTGGGGGGGGTTCCAGGGTGCAACAGTAACTGGACTTTGTGGGGAGCAGGGGTCCAGGTGATGGGGGTTGAAGCTCAGCAGGTGGGTCTAGGTGTGTGGGGTCCAGATGCTAAGGAAGTAGGACTCAGTGGAGATGAACATCCAGTTGCAGCTGGTTGGGGCTCGGTGGAGTGGGGAGCTAGGTGTGGGTGGCTCACTGGGAGTAAGACTTAATGGGTGACTCTGCTACAAGGGTGGTCTGCAGGGGAGAAGCTCAGTACAGGGATCCATATCCCTGAAGCTGAAGAGCAACTGGTGCAGAAAGGAGGGAAGAAGGAGTTTGCAGAGTTTCCTGAAGGAGGGTAAGAAATCTGGAGGTGATGCCATCCATAAGAAGAGGAAGTCCCATCGTTCCCATCCCAGTCAGGAGTAACAGCTGACCATGACACAGCATAGGAGCCACCAGCTAGGTTGTCCCAAGCCCCACTTGCAGCCCACAATGATTTATCTCTTCGCCGGCTGCCATGGGCACCCAAAACACACTGATGGAGAGGGTCACATGATTGCTCTTGAGGGTGGGGTTCCCTTTGCTTTCACAGCAAGATATTATTTTTCTGCAGGAAAGCAAGGAAATCTGACACACACACTTTGTATATTCACAGTACTGCAAAATTCCCCCAAGAGTAAAACAAAGTTTACCTTTCTTGGTTTCAGACTCCTGCCACTCTGGTTGACTAGGGAGCACCGTTTGATTTAAGACCTGCATTCCAGTAGCCTTATACCACTAAAACAAGAAGAGGAAAATATGCAATTTTTTCTGACGTTTCATAAGCATTCCTAAAAATGTATCAAATCCTGGCATTTCCTTCTGACAAACTGAAACGATCAGCTAGAACAGCAAAGTTACACTGGGTAAAAACTGCAGTGATCATCTTCAATAGAGTCAAGTTTGCTTTCATTGTTATGAAGGTCATGGTCAATCCACAGCATTGTATAATTCTGGAAAAGAGATGTTAAGAGGCAGGTATTTGAGTACTCGATAGAATTTGTCAACTACTTGATTAGTCAATAGGCAGCCCAGCTTGTGATGGGTCCGGGACCAATCCCTGCTGCGGCTCTACAATTTGAAACACAGTAAGAGCCTGGGGGCAGGCTTCCCCACTCCTGCTGTGTTTTAAATTGCAGAGCCACAGTGAGGTTTGGTCCTACACCTGCCAGGAGTCAGGACTGAGCAGGCTGCCTATCAACTAATCAAGTAGCTGATAGAATTTTTATCGACTACTCAATTAGTTCAATACCCGCCTCTTAACATCCCTAGTACAATGCGATCTCTGCATAGAAGCACTTACAAGCTCAAGTTTACCTTGAATAAGGGTTTGGAGGCCTGGACTCTTTACATGTATACTGATGGTGCGATTCAGGTGATATGGGAATGAACTGAACTCAGGAAGCACAAGACAAAATTAGAATGATTTTTTTTTAATTTTTTGTTTTCTTCCCCCTCCTGTTCCCCAGTATTGTCACTTTGCTTTGTCTTCTCATGGCCAGTTGGATGAAACCGAATATAATCCTCCTACTTCTATGCTCTTACACCATTTCACCTGATCTGTGTCAACACAGCAGCACATGAGGCATAGAACTAGCACAAATCTCTTGAGTATACTCCTGCTAGTTCTTCACAGCAAAACAAAATAATCTTAAAAAAAAAGTGGCTTCTTGTAACCATTGTCCATTTTTTAAACTCAGTCTATCAGTGAAACCTATGTAGACCTCACAAGGATCCAATAAGCACTGTTTGAAGACAGGATTGCACAAGTGAACCTGAGGCAGTGTCAGCTCAGCCAACTTTACCACTATAATTCACAACTCGAACAGCTTCATCATTGCTGCCTAGGGATGTTAAAGACTAGTCAGCTATCCAATAAGCATTTGCTTATCAGATAGTCTTTAGACTAGTCGATTCCCTCCCCCCTTGCTGCCTCTATGAGATAAAGGCAGCAAAGAGGGAGGGGGGGAGAGAAGGGGTACTTAAAAGTAGCAGCACCGCACAGCAAGTATGTGCCACAGAGATCAGTAGAAAGTAGGTATCTCTATATAAATAAGGTCTGCTTGTGAAGCCTTTTCCTACAGTTGATTAACAGATGGCAGTAGATAGGTCATTCAGACCACTGGCTGATAATAGTCAGTCACCCTGACCAGTCATTAACCAGAGTCATGGACTCACCCTACTCTCCATTGTCTCTATGATTCTCTGACGACCAGTGACAAAAAAGGAGAGTGGAAAGGGAAACTGAAGGGAGAGACCTCTCTAAATTCAAAAAAGAGCAGTATTGCCAACCCAAAAAAAATCAAAGTTACGAGAATGGTCTACAAATCCTAAGATATTTTAAAAATAATACATGCTGGATTTTTATTGGCCTTTTTGTTTGAGTATTTAGGGTTCAAGTTTTAAAGCTTTCTGCCTTCACTGTAAGGCCCAGAAGTATAGAGAACTTTTTTAAAATTAAAGCTGAGATTCCTACATAATCAATTGACTCCAGGCCTTTAGAAAAACATCAAATGTTTTGAGACTCATGGTAAAACAATGGAGGAATTCTTGTGAGCCCATGCGTTGCCCACAGTATTTAAAAAAACCACACAACACCACACACCCCCACACACAATATCTTCTCCACTAAACATCCTAATGAGATACTGCAAATGGTAAACTGAATTCAACAGCTCCTGATATGAACAGGTATCAATCTAGTTTTTCATATTTGAGATGAGTTACCAGGACTCATACATGACAATATGAAATCTTTCCACTCTCAAGTCAGCATATTCACAAAGCACCTATAATTTTCACTATCCAATAAATGCATCGTGCCTGGGGCCAGCGCCTCCAGTGCGCCGGGGGCGGGGCCAGCCCGGGTTGTCTGCGGGCGCCTACAAATGCCCCGGCGGGCGCCATGGCGCCCATGGGCACCGCGTTGGGGACCATGGACCTATAATTTTCACTATCCAATAAATGCATGGATCAAAGAGAAAGGAGGGAAATTAGTGTAGATAAATGTTCAAATTAAAAAAAATAACCCTGAAGGAATTAGGACTGGGCTCCTACATCTCACATTCTTATAGGACACTTATGACCAGATTTTCAAAGGTGTGTAAAGATTAGATAGATATCTTTGAAGATCCGAGTTGGCAACTGTCTCTTTAAGAGCTTAGATTGCCAGGTCTAATTATGAAACATGACTTTAGTCACTCAAGTGGTTTTGAAAATTTTAACTTGGGGCCTAAAGACACAAAAGGCAGGAGATATGGTATTCCTTTTAAAAATGTATGACATCTATTTTTAATTAAATTTTATATTATTTTTTTCCCCATGGGCAATTGACCCCTCTGGCCACCTCACTACGCCACTGCCCCCCCTCCTGCAGATCTATCATCTTATGCATGTGCAAGATCTGAGAGACCCATCCCATGAATCTGCAGGTTAGCGTCTGTGGCG